CAAAGGTGAACTTATACTTTAAAAATGGAAATGTGTTTTTTTTTTTTTTAATTTGATAGTTACGAATTGAAGAGGAACTCCAGTCCTTTTTTCAGAAATTAAAAGCCAGTAGCGACAAATACTGTAGTTGCTGATTTTTAAGAAACCGACATCTACAGGTCCAGGAGTTCTGCGCGGTCTTCATCTGGGTCGGTTCTTTGCTGGCCTTCAGATCCCCAGCTGGCTGTGACTTCTGCTGTTTTACAGCCGGCTCCCTACTGCACATGTGTGAGATCACCCTGCGCTGTCAGTTTGGTTCTATAGGCTCCTTGGATATGTGACGCTCGGGAAGGGTCAAACCTATGTAGCTTTTCCCTAGGCTAGAATTCTGGAAGTGGTAGCGGTCAGAAAAAGGTACCAAAAAAAATAATTAAATATGGTGGGGGAGGGGAGGAAGATTTTAAGTGAAAATCTGTTTTATTTCACAAAAAAATCAGATTTAGAGAAGCCTGGCATGTGTGCTGTTATGTCATATTATGTAATCAGCAATACATCCAAATAGGATGAATGGTTTTAATAACAGTGGCAGTTGAGTTGTAACACAGAGAAATGGCTTTCAGTTCATTATACAGTAAATGTTTGCGTGGCCATGTCTGATCAGCAGCTCCGGAGAAAACTTTCATACTGGCTAAACTGTCCATCAAGTTAACCCAGTGAGTGATCATGTATTAAAAGCAATAATTTGCTTTATTGAATGATTTTGGCAGATCTTTGTTGTATTTCTGGTTAGAACAGAGCCCTTCTGGAGCAGTCACTGCTTCTAGTCAGCCTTGACTCTCCCTGTTATCCTGCAGTGTGACATCTGCAGTGGGTGGAGGTGCTGGGGAACAGGACTTGTCATCCGGCCTCAACCCATTCGTCATCCTTTTGCAGCATTTGGGAGAGCGGGGAACTCTGGTCTTCGGCAGCTGCATCTCAGTCTTTTGCATTGTGGGCTCAATGTTGTTTTACAATTGTAATTCATTGTGATGCCTTTCAGCTGAACATTCTTTCTTTGTGGTCTTGCCTTATTTTATGTGCATAGACAGATCATAGTAGTTCAATTTTATTAAAATATTCTCTTTGATTTCCCTGTGATGCGAGATTCCATGTGAGAAGGCAGATTTCAGTGCTTAGAAGTTTGGAGTTTTTTTTTTTTTTTTTTAATCAGTTTTCATCTGTGCAATTTATCAAAGGCATCCTTCAAATCTTTGCTGCTTTAGATAAAGCAAAAAAATGTGGGTAATATGTAACTGTATATTGAGCTTAATGACTATGGTAAAGGCAGGAACGCCACTCAATTCAGTGTAATCTAGATATGTGTATAAAGGGCATATTTATAATGCGCTGAATTTGACATTCCCCAAACATTCTGTGCAGGTGAATCTTCCAGTGACTGATTGGCCTCAGTGAATGTTTGGGGCAGCACAGTGGCTAAATGGTTAGCAGTCCTGCCTGGCAGTACTAGGGTCACTGGTTTGAATCCCAACCATGGCACCACCTGCCTAGAGTTTGCATGTTCTCCCTGTGCCTGCATGGGTTTCCTCCGGGTACTCTGGTTTCCTGCCACACTCCAAAGACATGCTGGTAGGTTAATTGGATCCTTTCTAAATTGGCCCTACTATGTGTATGTATGAATGTAAGTGAGGGACCTTAGATTGTGCGCCCCTTCAGGGTTAGGGACTGATGTGAATGTACAAATATATATGTGTGTGTGTGTGTGTGTGTGTGTGTGTGTGTGTGTGTGTATATGTGTGTGTCTATATATATATATATATATATATAGTACAGTGCTGCATAAATTGGCAGTGCTATATAAGTAACTATAATAAATAATATAGCCACACTGACTGTTCTGTATAAATATGCCCCAGAATGTAACTAGCAGTCAGATTTAGCAAGTCTGGCTAAAGCTGGCTTTAGATTTTTTTTTTTTCATTCAGCCAGCAGGCCAAAAAAAATAAACAGATTCCCATCCACACCAGCGAGGTGATTGGAGAGGAATCCTTTCCGTCATGCCATTGTATTCTGACAGCAAGGACTCCTCCACTGTCAGAATACACTGATCAGAGGCTGCAGCTGCTGATCGACAAGTTTTCCAACAATCCTGTTTGACAGAAAGTCGATCAGCAGCAGCCATAGATGGATTGAAATTCAACTAGTTCCTGGTGAAAAGTTTTGATCCATCTATAGCCAGCCTAAGACCTCATGTGATTTAGCAGGTCAACATCTGATTTTTAAAGTACAACCTATGGATGAGGATGAGGTCATTCCAGAGGGAGGGTGATCCTTAAAACACATCTAAAGCCAAAACATTGTTTGGCTGACTGTGTTCCTGCTATTTATCCTAGGGACCATTGTCACTGGAATAGAGAGTGATGGGAAAATTTTTTTACGATTGTCATCAGAACAGGCGGTGAAAGAAAATCTTCCTATTTCTACTCCCTTTGGAGAGATTTTCCCTCACTTCCTGTTTTGTCTTGGGGACAGGATGTGAATCTCTCTGAGATTGGGGGGGGGGGGTGTTGGGGGGAAAACAAAATGACAGGGTTATTGCTGTTTCCTCCCTCCTAATTTATCCAAAACTAAATAAATTCATCTAGATATACTTTAAAATCCTTAAGCTTATCTTTGCAGAGCGGAGACAGGGCCATTAATTAGAGGAGAATTCAAATCACTAGAGATTTGTAACGAGGGCACCCATGCGAGGGCACCCATGCGAGGGCACCCATGCGAGGGCCGTGTTCGCCTGCACAGGGATCCACAGGTGTTTTGTGTATTTCCATGCAGGCAGTCCCATCATGTCAATTGAGTGGGGCTGCATGGATGCAACCACTGCTCCTAGTTTTACAGCTGTGTGGGTGCATGGCCCCGAACACAGACAGTAGATGATGGCAAACATGGTCCTCGCATGGGTGTATGCTGTACTACATCCGTGTGAAAGAGGCCAAAATGTTTCACTGGGGTTGAATCACCAAGTTCCCATGTAGATCTATGCTGATGCTTTTTTTTTCATTTTTTGTTTATTTTTATATGCTTCTATGTGCATCTGTGTGAAAGAGGCCAAAATGTTTTGCCAGAGTTCACTTTCAATACACTGGGGTTGAATTACCAAGGGCGCATGTAGATCTATGCTGGTGCATTTTTTTTTTCTGTTTTTTTTTTGTTCTGCTTTTATATGCTTCTATGTGCATCCGTGTGAAAGAGGCCAAAGTGTTTCACCGGACTTCACTTTCAATACACTGGGGTTGAATCACTAAGTTCCCATGTAGATCTATGCTGATGCCTTTTTTTTTGTTTTTGTTATGTTTTTATATGCTTCTATGTGCATCTGTGTGAAAGAGGCCAAAATGTTTTGCCATAGTTCACTTTCAATACACTGGGGTTGAATTACCACGTGCCAATGTAGATCTATGCTGGTGCGTTTTTTTTGTTTGTTTGTTTTAGGGTTTTTTTGTTATGCTTCTATGGGCAACACAGTGGCTAAGTGGTTAGCACTTTCGCATGGTAGTACTAGGGTTGTTGGTTCAAATCCCAGCCACGTCACCACCTGCCTGGAGTTTGCATGTACTCCATGTGCCTGCGTGGGTTTCTTCTGGGTGCTCGGGTTTCCTCCGGGTGCTCTGGTTTCCTCCCACACTCCAAAGACATGCTGGTAGGTTAATTGGCTCCTGTCTAAATTGTCCCTAGTATGTGTATGTATAAATGTGAGTTAGGGACCTTAGATTGTACACCCCTTGAGGGTTAGGGACAGATGTGAATGTACAATATATATGTGTAAAGCACTGCGTAAATTCACGGCGCTATATAAGTACATGAAATAAATAAATATTCTTCAATGCTTTCAATACACTGGGGTTGAATTACCAAGAGCCCATGTAGATCTATGCTGGTGCATTTTTTTTTTCTGTTTTTTTTTTTTTTTGGTATGCTTATATGTGCATCCGTGTGAAAGAGGCCAAAATGTTCCACCAGACTTCACTTTCAATACACTGGGATTGAATTACCAATTTCCCATGTAGATCTATGCTGGTGCCTTTTTTTGTTTGTTATGCTTTTATATGCTTCTATGTGCATCCGTGTGAAAGAGGGCAAAATGTTTCACTGGACTTCACTTTCAATACTCGGGTTGAATTACCACGGGCCCACATAGATCTATGCTGGTGCCTTTTTTTGTTTTTTGGTTTTTTGTCATGCTTCAGTGTGCATTTCTTTTGTGCTTGGGTACATGATTTGATGCACATTATCATGTGTTCCAGTGCATTTTTTTATTTAGAATTTGGAGTGGATATGGTTAACAGTTATCCACCAAGACTTGTTAATACCTATTACCACGAATAGCTTATGCATTTTGATGAGCTCTCATTTATTTTTATAGGATCTCCCAACACATTACACATAGAAAAAAAAAGAATACGACATGTTGTCTTTTTAAAATGTGAGGTACTACAGTGCTGCAATGAGAACACACCATATTTTTTAGGAAACATGACATGTTTTAGTGCATCAGAATGCATGCATTAAAATGCAACAGTGTAAACAGGCCCTAGGAGCACATTCGGTTGCTTTGCAAAGTTACTTTTTTCACTTGGCTTAGTGAATCAGGAAAGCCAAGTGCAAATTCAGTTTGAAAAATATATTCAATCACGTGCAAGGAAAATGAAATAAAATAGGATTTCTGCTCACAGATTATTGGATGAATAAAGTCAGCTTAGTTTTACCTTATCCATTAAGCTAAGTGGAAATGTTACATTATTGGGGAGACAGCCTATATAGTCGTTTAGTAAATCCCTCACTGTGTGCAATCTGAGCTCAGAGGGCAGCACCATGTCCTGATTTCCAGTGTTGTTTGCAGACTCTTTCTTATGTGTTTATACTGTACCTTCAGGTGCAACAATCCGAGGATTGGAGATATTTTACAGAAGTTAGCACCTTTCCTGAAGATGTATGCTGAGTATGTCAAAAATTTTGATAACGCCATGGAAACGGTGAAAACCTGGATGGAGCGGTCTACACAATTTAAGCATGTCGTTGAGGAAATCCAGGTGAGGATTTCTCTGACCATTTAACATAACCGTAATACAATTTTATAGCTGAACTCCAGCCTTTCCTTCAGTCTTGCACAGTTGTAAAGGCTCCTCTGCTGTACTGAAATGACTTGCTGTAATTTCACTGCACACTGTGAGCTTCTTACAATGTGCATTAGAAGCTGAATCAACTCAAACAGAACCTGCCTCATTTCTTGGCTGGAGGATTTCCAGGATCATCTAACCCTTTCACCCCAGCCAGACTCTCCCTGGCCAGTCCTTTTTATTCACTGGATTTCAGTTATTTCAATAAAGGAGGCTCAGTATTACATATGGTTGTTACATAGGGCGGTCTACATGCAAACACAGCCTGACAAGGAGCACCCACTCCTCCACTCTTGAAAACATTTTGAAATTTATGCTATACCTTGCTACCCCATCCCACCAATCATGATCTGCCTACATTGCATACAGAAGCACAGAGACTCAGGGGAAGATTTACTAAAACTGGAGCATGCAAAATCTGGTGCAGCTCTGCATAGAATCCAATCAGCTTTCAGATTTTATTGTCAAAGCCTAAATGTACAAGCTGAAATGAGAAGCTGATTGGCTACCCTGCACAGCTGCACCGGGTTCTAAGTGCTCAATATTTAGTAAATATTCCCCACAGTATCTTAAAAAAGGTATGTAATAATAATGTTTTTATAAGGCCCTGTTCACACTGCATGCAAATTAGAAATCCTGCAACTTCACTTGAAGTCGCATGATTTCAGAGTCCCATATCATTGCTACTTCGGGTGCAACTTGCAGACACCTGTGCAACTTCATGCACAGATGTCTATGCAAATCGCACCCGAAATCAGAAAAAGTAGTGCAGAAACTACTTTTCAAATCGGTGTGACGTTCAGAACAGTCCCATTGCTGATCTTTAGATGCAATTTGCCATATGTTCAATCTGTGGATTGCAGATCACTTGATATTAATGTTTTCAGGTAGAGCAATTATGTAAGTGTGTGTATGTGTGTGTGTATGTGTATGTGTATGTATATATATATATATGTATATATATATATATATATATATATATATATATATATATATGTGTTATATATATATATATATGTGTATGTATATATATATATGTATATGTATATATATATATATATGTATATATATATATATATGTGTGTGTGTGTGTATCTCTCTCTCTCTCTCTAGTATATATAAATATATATACTAGATTGTAAGCTCGAAAGAGCAGGGCCCTTGAACCCCTCGTGTATTGTACTGTATTGTACTGTATTGTCTCATAATCTGTCCCCCTCGCTAATGTACAGCACTGAGCAAACCCTTTGGCGCTATATAAACACTGTATAATAATAATAGTTATATATATGTAAATGTAAAATAAAAATGTTTCTTCTAGTAATACACTATGCAATAATTGTGTAAATTTTCTGACAACTTTTTATCCTGACTAGAGCCCCACTTTAGCCTGTGAGCTCAGTCCATTCCTCTAGGAATGGGGGGGGGGGGGGTCATACAAGCTTACTCCTGAAAACTTTGTCCCCTTTAAGTGACATCCTGATTTGTGCTATTGCCAACTAATTAAGTTGTAGTGACCTCTAGTGTTGAAAATTGAAATGGCATGGTGCCTTTATATGAATATTCGAACAAACATTTTTATGAAAATTCCCAGTACAATCAGTGACTTCCCGAATGTCCTTCAAAATTTTCTTTCCTTTTAATATTTAAACCTGGAACAAAACCACACATACTGTTAGAAATTTGTTCAGGAAAAACTTTCCATCCTGCTTCGGCTCCAAATAATTTTTGTGAATGTGGTCTAAAATAAACATAGATTTTACCCTACTAGTGATTGTAAAATCAAATGTTCTTAAAAAGTTTTGAATAAATTCTACTGCTTTATGGCCAGCTTTACTTTAAAGGCATGAATTGTTTTTTCTTTTTTTTTGGGGGGGGGGGGGGGGGGGATTGTAGAATTTTCTAAAGTATGTTTTATGTAGCCAACCAACCAAAAGCCACCTTTTATTATTATTATTGGAAGGTGATTGGCTGCTCTGGGTTATTGGACCTGCCTGCAGTGCATACTCTGTTGTGAAATAAGGTTGCTAACATGAAACTCTGCATGTTTTTTTCAGAGGGAAGGAAAATGTGGAAGTTTAACCCTTCAGCACCACATGTTAGGGCCTGTGCAGAGGATCCCGCGATATGAGATGCTCCTTAAGGATTACCTTCGCAAACTGCCACAAGACTCATTCGACAGGACAGATGCAGAAAGTAAAGTTTTTACTGAGAAATGTGTTTGCATTATCCATTTAAAGGAACTTTCCAATTTTTTTAATCCTTGTGCCTGCTTTTGACTTCACCTCCTGTTTTTATTGTGGTCACAGATCCTGTGTTTTTTTTTAATCTGATCTGAAAAACCCCAATCCTCAGCCACTTGCTGGGAGTTCGGATTATTAAAATACCTGCCTTCCGACAATCCCCTTTATTGTCCTCCTGGAGCAGCTGAAAGCTAGCATCTCCTCCTCACCCTCCCACCAGCGTACAGCTTCTTCAGGAAGAAAATCCAGGGGATTGGTTCTAGTAAATGCCTCTGCTGCCCCTTAAAACTCTTGTTCCTTTTTTTTCTGTTGCCTGGCCCCTTCCCCAAGTGTTCTCCTTTTAACAGGGCTCCTGAAGAAATTGTGAAAAATATTAAAAAATAAAAATATGAAAATAAAAACTCTTGACACCATCCACTGTCCTACTGACACTGTCTACTGCTCTACTGACACCATCCACTGCTCTATTGACTGACAACAACCCCTGCCCTACTGACACCATCCACTGCCCTACTGACTGATACTGTCCATTTTTAATGTAGGCTAACTTGGAATTTTTACAGTGACATATGTTTTTATTACATTTTTCTACATTTTCCTTGCTATTTAGTTATGTCTTCCTAGTTGATTTTTTTTTTTTTTTAAATGACATTGAACCCCGGTGATCTTTGATCTTTCATGTTGTTCAGGTAGATCTCCACCTGTCAAAGGTTGCCTACCCCTGCCGCAAACAATCAAATAGAATATAACCAATTTAGAATCAGTTTAGATCAGATTCGATCAAACGGAGTCAATCTGCCAGAACAGAAATTATAGATAACAAAAACCTTTTCAATAATCCAATGTAACCCTCTCCCACAGTCCCATATACATAAATGTCCACACCTCAGTCCACAAAAATGTATAATAAAGTCCAAAATAGAAAATTAAAATAGAAAAATAATGTTCAAAATATATAGCAATAATCCAAATGTGTGTTAAACATCCAAAAAGATATCCAAAATCTTCCTACTCAATCCCTCTTGTTGTCAGTAGAGGACATATAAGATTCTCAAATCCCCAAAGGTAGCCTTCCTGCGAGGTGCGTCTTTCTCCCAGGAGTGGACAGTGGGGTCCCTCTTTCTTCTAAGGTCAAATCCCTCAAAGAGACCGCGGTCCCCGTATCTCGCGGGGAAAATAGGAGCAGACTCAGTGGAGTATCATAAAAGTATACTTTAATTAGGTAGACTTACATTCTAGATAATACCGTCCATCTCTCCCCCTCCGTTCGTTATTCTACACAGAAACAAAAATGGCCGCGCTGCTCCTTCCGGCTGCAGCGTCTGAGCGTCTGACGTCACACGACCCTGACGCGTTTCGTCACTTCCGACTTTTTCACAAGGGATCCAGACGTCCTTCTTGCGGCGGTTCCTCTTAAGCCGTAAAATACTGGCAAAAATGTTCCGCCGCCATTTTAACTATGGGCATCTCACCGATGCCTATCCTTCTTAAACGAACGGTGCAAAATCGCAATAAATAAATGCTAATTCCCATAAGCAGGGACTTGGTAGACAGGTATTTCATACTATACATACAACAAACCAGGATAGAAAGTTCCCTACACAGTGTCCCGCCGAACACTACTATAGGGATATAATTCCATCCATAAATAAATAAAAATCAATATAATATTTAATACAGTGAACTAGATCAATCAAATGAGAATCTCTACCGTATAGATATATATAAGAAATCCTACACTATACTTAAATATATATAAAAATTATATGAATATGTAAATAGATAGGACAAATCATTAGGGTAGGGCTCCCTCTACTGTAAGAGTAGTATAAATTCCTCTAACTAATATAAATATCTCTGCTTTCATTATTCTATATATCAACCCCAACAGACTCATATATATATTATTAAAGTGCAAATTCAAATAGATAAATTGAAACTAAAATAAATTAAAATAAATTAAAATTCTTATTATATAATAATACATTAAAATATTAAAATAAACCTCCACTTTGTATTATAAACCAGCAATGAGCTTTCTCTTTACTTTAAAATTCTTCCTCAGTCCGAAAATTATTTAAAATAAGTCTTATGATCTCCAATCCAATTAGTCAATAGAATTAATCAATAATAATTTAACATCACTTAACATAATCCCTTGCTCGTATACAGGAAGATTCAAATCCTTATCTCATATATGGAACCTCTCCCTCTAAACTTCATACGAATATTCATAATCTATTTTTTACCAATCTGAAATAAAGCAGTTTAGATCCAAGTCGATATTTAGACCTCCAGGTTTTAAGGTGCGTAACTGATAAATCCAGAATGTTTCATTTTTGGATAACATCTGGACCCTATTCCCCCCTCTCCAATGTGCTTCCACTGTGTCTATTCCACAAAATTTAAGAACACTTGGGTCTGATCTATGGTATTCTTTAAAGTGTCTAGACACACTATGATTCTTTTTCCCTTTTTATGATATTTCTCACATGCTCTTTAATTCTATCGTTAAGGGTTCTTTTAGTTCTTCCCACATACTGGAGTTTACAGGGGCATTCCAACAGATATGTTACATATTTGGTACCACAAGTGATGAACTTTTCAATTGTAAATTTTTCTCCCGTATTCCAAGATTCAAATCCAAAAATTTTATTTTTACTATTTGTTACCTTACACACCTTGCATTTTTTGCATGGATAGAATCCTTTGAGATCAAATAATCTCCCACCTTTTGATTTGGGAGGCGAGATAACTCCTTTTACCAGAACATTCCTCAGATTATTATTTTTCCTATAAATGAATGACGGTTTCTTTGGAAGATGGGTCCCTAATGTAGCATCTTTCATTAAAATAGGCCAATGTTTATTAAAAATATTTTCAATATCTTTATAATGGCAATTAAAACGGGAGATAAAAGCAAATTCTGCTATCCTGCCATCCCTTCTTTTGATCACATTTTCTTTCTTAATTTTACCTTCTCCCAAATAATTATGACTAATTTTATATCTGGTTTTTTCCATATATATCTATACGGTAGAGATTCTCATTTGATTGATCTAGTTCACTGTATTAAATATTATATTGATTTTATTTATTTATGGATGGAATTATATCCCTATAGTAGTGTTCGGCGGGACACTGTGTAGGGAACTTTCTATCCTGGTTTGTTGTATGTATAGTATGAAATACCTGTCTACCAAGTCCCTGCTTATGGGAATTAGCATTTATTTATTGCGATTTTGCACCGTTCGTTTAAGAAGGATAGGCATCGGTGAGATGCCCATAGTTAAAATGGCGGCGGAACATTTTTGCCAGTATTTTACGGCTTAAGAGGAACCGCCGCAAGGACGTCTGGATCCCTTGTGAAAAAGTCGGAAGTGACGAAACGCGTCAGGGTCGTGACGTCAGACACTCAGACGCTGCAGCCGGAAGGAGCAGTGCGGCCATTTTTGTTTCTGTGTAGAAATAACGAACGGAGGGGGAGAGATGGACGGTATTATCTAGAATGTAAGTCTACCTAATTAAAGTATACTTTTATGATACTCCACTGAGTCTGCTCCTATTTTCCCCGCGAGATACGGGGACCGCGGTCTCTTTGAGGGATTTGACCTTAGAAGAAAGAGGGACCCACTGTCCACTCCTGGGAGAAAGACGCACCTCGCAGGAAGGCTACCTTTGGGGATTTGAGAATCTTATATGTCCTCTACTGACAACAAGAGGGATTGAGTAGGAAGATTTTGGATATCTTTTTGGATGTTTAACACACATTTGGATTATTGCTATATATTTTGAACATTATTTTTCTATTTTAATTTTCTATTTTGGACTTTATTATACATTTTTGTGGACTGAGGTGTGGACATTTATGTATATGGGACTGTGGGAGAGGGTTACATTGGATTATTGAAAAGGTTTTTGTTATTTGCACTTTCAAGGGTGAAAGTTTGACTTTTCAGAAGGGAGTTATAGAGTATTGGTTTAATAGAAATTATAGATAGTTTTGAATGATAGGCAGCACTGAGATACTTTGCTCCTTTAATACAATCGTATTTTGATAAATTAGATTATGAAATTTACAAACATATGAAAACAAACAAACAAACAGTCTGCACTTCATACACAAACGAAGTGACCTTTGAAGCACTTATATAAATCAATTGTAAATTGCAGTACTATAAAATCAGTCAAAATAGGTGTACTGTATGTATTATATGTATTTATTATAACTCTGCAGATTGATTAAGAGATTGCATAGTGGAAACAGAGATACAATCAGCAATTTATGATGGCAAGTTATATTCGTATCCTATCAAACAAAATCACTTTCCTGTGTGTCTCATATCAATTGAATGGGTTGTTGACTATAGATGGATTATTCCTATAGGAAGAGATTCATTCAGAAAAGAATTTTATCAATTACCATAGTGTAATGTCTGCCTTCATTTTGTAAAGCACTGCGAAAACTGTTGGGTCTATACTGTTTATTATTATTATTATTATTATACAGGATTTATATAGCATCGACAGTTTGCTCAGCACTTTACAATATAACAGGAGACAATACAGCAACAATACAGTTCAATACAAGAGGGCTAGGAGGGCCCTGCTCCTTGGAGCTTACAATCTAAGAGGGAGGGGCTGGTGGTACAAAAGGTAATAACTGTGGGGGATGGACTGGTAGGAGGAATAGAAGATTCCATTATTAGCTGAGGGCTGGATAGGCTTCCCTGAAGAGATAGCTTTTCAGAGATCGCCTAAAAGTGAGCAGAGTCGGCGATAGTCTGATAAATTGGGGGTAGAGAGTTCCAGAGGATGGAGGAAGCTCTGGAGAAGTCCTGGAGACTGATCCCATATAATAGTGTGTATCGCCAGCATTACCAGAAATAGTCCTGTATTTTCAGACTTCAGTGATAGTGCCGCTAGCTATGTGGCATTGAAATGTGGCATTGCAGCCCATTCTCTGTGAAGTGATGATGGTGTATAAGGGGTTATTTACCATCAGGACAGACTTTTTAGTCCAAACCTCCGTTTCCATTGTGACTTTACTCAGAACTGTTGCATGACATTTTGTTACAATGTCTCTGATTGCTGTTCCTTGCTTTTTAGAGTCTTTAGAAATTATTTCTACTGCTGCAAGTCACTCCAACACAGCGATCAGGAAAATGGTGAGACCATTATTATTGCATTATGCTTCCGTAAAACCTGCATATGTATATTACTCACAGGGACATGTATACAGAGAGCATCAGTAAATTGGCCTTTGTTTGATATATGTACTGAACTACAATTATCATATGGTTAAGCATGCTGGTAGACTAAAGTTTGAGACTTGTAGCTCATTGGCTGCTGGTGACTTGAAGTTTTTTTTTGTACGCTTTATATGTAGCATGGATGTTTAAAGTGACATCTGATCAACTTATATCTGTAGTTTTGGGGCAAATAATATACTGCAAATAGGAAAAGTATGGAGGATAGGCATTGTCCTTTTTTTTGTAGATATGAAGATGTTTGTATGGTTTGCAAAGACAACCTAACCCTACCTCTCAGAAACTCAGATCCACGTCCCTCTACTATTAAAGTATGTTGAAATCCGGTTAAATCCGTTGTGATTTTTTTTTTTTTTTTCCATCAGTGTTGCATTGTAGAGATTTTCCTTCACTTCCTGTCTGGAGACACAACAGGATGTGAGAGAATATTTTCAAAGTGACAGTTGTTACCAGAACAGCTATCCTTATAGGGAGTTTTCCACCTTGATTCCTGTTTTGATGGCAGCTTTAAAATGTTGCATTTCTTATACCACTTTATGCCCCCGTGACAACGGTGCATAAGCGCCGGCTGTGCCGTGGTAGCTCATTGAAGCTTCCTGCCAGAATATCTGCTTGCTTGTACATCCCGTATGGAAAGTGGATATTCTGACAGGTCTGCAGGAGACCTGCATGGCATCAGTGATCTACTGATCGCTGGTCCAATGCTTTACAGGCTTCTTTGGACAAAAATAATAAATGCACATTTTGTTTACCTGGAAAAATATGTGCATTTATTATTTTTGTCTAAAAGGGGAACTTATCCTTTAACTTATCAACTTGGAGCAAGACACTATAGAGAAGATTTACGAAAACTGGGGCACACAGAATCAGCTTCTAGGTTTTATTGAACAAGCTGAAGTTAGAAGCGGATTGGCACAGTTGCACCAGAGTCTTTGTGCACCAGTTTTTAGTAAATCTCCCCCTATGTGATTGGTTACTAATTGTTTTGATAATTGTTTATATTACATGCTGCTGAATGGTATACAAGGGTTGTTTTTTATGTTTTCATTTTCTACCAGTCCATTAAGCTATCACACAGACTAGTTATTCTGTTCAGCTACATTTTTGTGCTGATGTTTTAGGAAAATTTGAAGAAGCTGCTGGTGGTGTATGAAATGCTGGGAGAAGAGGAAGACATTGTGCACCCATCCAATGAGTTTATAAAAGAAGGACAGATCATGAAACTTGCTGCTCGCAACACATCAACCCAGTACAGGCATCTCTTTCTGGTAGGTCCTGTTACTTATAATGTGCCTTTGCGATAAATGATAAGAGTTGAATATAATGTTTAACATCCAGTCATGCCTTCAAGACCAGGAGCTCAAACATTGTTTATCTACAGCACATGCTTTACATACAGTGCCAGAAGGCATGTACAAAAACAAATGCAGTTAGGTGGTGAATAGCTGAAAAATGAAGGCACCCCCGCATCAGTTCTGTTAGCATTACCCGGCTGATCCTGGCAGCCAATCATAAACAGACCTCAAAGGTTAGGATTCCAGAGAAGCCTTTTTTAATCCCCTTTGTTATTGACTCTCTTGTAGTTCAACAACATGTTGCTGTACTGTGTGCCAAAGTTCAGTCTTGCCGGAGCAAAGTACAGTGTTCGAACAAAGATCGGTCTGGAGGGGATGAAGGTGGTGGAAACGCAAAACGAAGACTACCGACACACTTTCCAGATCTCTGGTAAAGAGAGAACATTGGAGCTTCAGGCTGGGTAAGACAGGTAAGACAGCAGCGCTGTTGCATTCTCTGCAGCACTCTTATGTGCTGCAGCAAGTTGTGATGCATTACAACACCTCAGAAAGCAGTATGCACAATTGTAACTTGTTCTGTTATTCATCAGTGCATACCATTGCAGCAGGATGGTATGAACTGAAGCCCTAGGGCCTAAGTCATATTGCCTTAATGTGTTGGGACTGCATTGTGTTGTGGCTGCCTGTATGAGTTCGCCCTGAGTGGAAAGATCTGGGATCTCAAGCGGAGTGATAGTCCTAGGAGACATAAACTTAAAGTAAGTCTGTGGTCCATTTTACAGTTTCAGAGGTAGCTCACCTTAAAATCAGACATCACAGGATGGCCAAAATTGTTCTGTGCTCCTCTCCGATTAAGTTTCAGTCTCTTACTGGAGCCTGTTTTTTTTTTTTTTTTTTTCCTCTCTTCATGACTGGTCCACTAACTGCCAACCTTCTGTTCAATGAGAGTTCAACAAAAAAAAGTGCTTGTACTAAGCACTGTGGCAGTCTCATTGGATAGCAGTTAGCAAGGCTTATCCATGAGGACAAGGAAAATCAGGCCAAAGAAACAAAATCATACTAAATCGGAGAGGTGCACAGAAGAATCATTTCTGGCAGAACTTTTGCTTTTAAAAATGTAAAAATAGAATCATAAAGTCTGCAGTACTTTCCTCCACTTCATCAAGATGACATTCACAAGCCCTGACACCACCATTGACATATTCACCTGTTGTTCTTCTGGGTTCATCATCTTCTGCCATCTTGATTGGCCAACCTGGAAAGTATAACTTCTCTACAGCACCAAGGTTTGCTGAGATTTTACAGAATTGTGCAGCTCCGTGTACAATCCACAACCGCCATACATGGCTCGCTGTTTTTTTCATTCAGCCTGCAAGCTGATTGAAACAAAACAAATCAATTCCCCATTCACACTGACCGCATAGATGGAGAAATCTCCACTGTCAGCTATTATATTCAGACAGCCATGGTACATGCTGCTGCCTGAATACACAAGCAGGGACTGCATGAGATAGGATGCAGTCAAAGTTCAGCTGATAACTTTCCATTCAGTTCTGTTGATTTGAAATCAACTTTTTTTCAAGCCAGGTGGTGCTTGTATGGTCACCCACAGACTGAATTTTGGGCAATTCAGCAGGAATCGGCCACAGTTTGAGCTGTCTTTGGGGACCTTAGGGCTAGTTCATATCTGTGTGGTGCATTTTAGTGCATTGCGTTTTACACACGCTACCATTAAACTCTAAAGAAGTCACGCTTTGATGAAAGCAAATTAAAGATGCAGCATACAGAACTTTTTTTTTTTTTTTTTCTTTTTTTTTTTTTAGCTCATTGCACCTAAAATGCATTAAAACACAAAGGTGTGATGGGACCTTATGTTTGTGCAGGAAGGTTAGCAGAAATTTATTATTATTATTATTATTACTACGAGTTTATATAGCACCAAAGGGTTTGCTCAGCGCTGTACAATAGGGGGGGACAATACATGGCACAGTACAACAACAACAAACAACGTACGAGGGGTAAGAGGGCCCTACTCTTACGAGCTTACAATCTAGGAGGGAGGGGGTAAAGGTACAGTAGGAAGTGGCTGAGGGGGATGAAGTGGTGGGAGGAAAGAGGGAGGATGACCGTTAGGTGAGGGTGGGGTAGGCTTCCCTGAAGAGATGGGTTTTGAGGGAGCGCCTGAATGTGAATAAACCCTACTATGTCTCTTTATTGCAAAAGAGACATAGTAGGGTTTATTTACTAGGCAAAATCAGGCTCACTTCTGCACAGAAACCAATCCGCTTCAAACCTCAGCTTGTTCAAGTAAGCTTTAGCAATAAAACCTGGAAGCTGATCGGGGCTGTATGCAGGGGTGAGCCTGATTTTGCACTCTCCAGTTTTAGTAAATTCCAGTGTGTCTTTTTCTGCAATAAAATCCTTCCTGCAACCATTTTTTTTTTTCCAAATTCCAATTTAAGATTCTATTTCGTTTTACCAAGTATTCCACTTCATCATCTACCAAAAGTTTAAAAGAGAAGAATAGTCAAAGCTTGTTGGTCATACTTCTCTTTTGGAGAAGAGAAGGAGCACTTGCTTTTGCTCTCCTGTTGCCCTGGATCAACTGAAAGCAGGCTAAAGCCCACTGTCATCTAACATTAAACAGCTGCTCCAGCCAATGCAATTATCCTGACCATATTGTCAGGATGGCTGACAGCTGGCTCTGACTCTCAGCGTGTGCCTGGGAGCTGAAGTCAGTTGCACCCACCCCTCTCCAGCCCTGTACTCTAGTGAGAAGGCCAAGAAATGAGCGATCAGTGGTCATGTGACTGCTCAGTTCTTGGGCTTAGAGCTGGCGGGGGACAGCTGCAGCATCAGACCACTGCTGCAGCATTGAGGTGAGCATGTATGTTTGCTTTTTTTTTTTTATTCCCATACTTTACTTCTCAGTCAGTGGGCTGACCCTATGAACTGACTATAGTGTAATAGTTTACAGGGTAACAAAATAATAAAATTTGGTAGCGAGGCCCAAAGTTGCTTATATACCAAAGACTTTATTTTATAATTGTATTTATTACAGGCCATCATATGATATATTGTATAACCCACAATACTTTTTGTTTTCTTTTTCCAGTTCGGAGCAAATCAAAGAGGATTGGATCAAGGTACTTTAAAATGTTCTGTGCTTAACCGTTTCAATACCGTGCAATTTTACACCTTCCTGCCCAGGCCAGTTTTCAGGTTTCAGCGCTCTCACACTTTGAATGACAATTGCGCGGTCATACAACATTGTACCCAAACTAAAATTTGATCATTTTCTTCACACAACTAGAGTTTTCTTTTGGTGGTATTTAATCACCGCTGGGGTTTTTATTTTTTGCTAAATTAACAAAAAAAGACCAAAAATTTTTGAAAAAAAAACACATTTTTCTTTGTTTCTGTTAAAAAAGTTTACAAATAAATAATTGTTCTTCATAAATTTAGGCCGAGATGTATTCTGCTACATGTCTTTGGTGAAAATAACCCAAATTAGGATGTATTTTTTAGTTTGTAGGAAAGTTATAGAGTTCACAAACTATGGTATAGATCTGAATATTGATCAATCCTGAAGTACTGACAGCCAATCTAATATCTTGAGGTCCAAGAATGTCAGAACAGTACAGATATCCCCCAAATGACCCCTTTTTGCAGAGTAGACAGTCCGACATACTTCATAAGAGGCATGGCAAGTTTTTTGAAGTTGTATTTTTTTGTCATAATTTTTCGGAAAATGAAAAAATTAAAAAAATTATTTTCACTATTTTTTTTTTTACATACTGTCACCAGTGCAGAGTACAGCGTCATCATATAACTGGCATGGCGGTGAACAGCGACACTGACTGGTGACAGTATGAAAAAAAAAATATATATATATATATTTTTTTTTTTTTTTTTAATTTTTTTATTATATTTAATTTTTTATTACATTTTTTTTTTTTTTTTTTTTAAAGATTTTTTTTCATATTTTACCATGACCAAAATAGTACAATGTTACCATAGTAACACTGTACTACTTTGGGGAAGTGATCAGTATTTTTTTTTTTTTTTTACACAATTTGCTTATAGCAAAGAATTACTTTGCTATAAGCAAGCATTTACCTGAATGAAATCGATTCATTCAGCTTTTTTTTTTTTTTTTTGATTAGCTGTGACCAGCTTCACAGCTAGGACCATTCACAGCTAGGCACTATTATACAATGGATGGCATCATGAATGAAGCCATCCATTGTATACAACTGTCATGTGACCTGCTGTGATTGGTCACAGCAGGTCACATGGTACCGGCAACGGGAGCCGGTACTCGGATCTGTCATCGGCCGTGTCCGAGGTGCACGGGCGGTGACAGATCGCACTGCTGCGTCACTCTGCAACCGCGCAAACCGCGCATGTGCGGGAGCACGCCAAATGGCGTGCACCCGGAAAGCTGCAGCGCTTTTCAAGCCGCCAAACGGCCATTGGCCGGGCGGCTAATGGTTAACAATTATATTTAAAGCTGAGCTTCCAGACAGATAGAAAAGGCAATACATGTAGTTATGTATTCATTATAAAAAAACTATATTTTTAAATGCAACCTATGTAAGTACCTGAATCCGTTGAATCAGTGCCCTTAAATGACCGCCTCACATCTTCCTCACTGTCTTCCACCTGAACTCTCCTGCAGCTGAGCAGGCTCCAACACTTTTAGGGGTGTCCTAGCCCCTTGCCAAGCCTCCTGTTGGGATTGGCTAGGATTCTTCAAGGTTGCAAACAAGTCACTCCTCAGATCCACCCACTGCCTCTACAGCCTTCCTCAAAAGCCCTAGAGCAGGGGGAAATTCAAGGTGGGCTGGCAAAGGGGGCTTACACCCAGGTTGCTACTCTGCTTTCCTCCCTGACATTTAGGAATAGCTAAACTAGGAGGGTGCTACTGAAGTTTGTTCGAAAAAGATTTTCCATGTTGTGTCAGTTATATACTATAAATAGTGAAGCGCTAAATAAATAAATATATATATATATTAAGGTGCCAACAGTGAGTGTAAGTGCTAAAGTGTTAACAGTTCCTTGTTAAACACTGGAACATTATAACCAATAGTGTATATTAAATAGAAAAAATCAAACTGAATCCATATTAGTGATGATAAATAAATAAACAAACCAGTGACAAATAATCTTATATCTCCCAAAAATTCCTTCTCCTCATTCACTATTTAAAGTGAAGAGTGCTCATCAATAATAAAAGGTGAACACGTGTATACAAAAAAAACTTTTTTAAGTGCATATATAGAAAATATATATACAGTTGCAAGAAAAAGTATGTGAACCCCTTGGGATTACGTGGAGTTTTGCATGAATTGGGCATAAAATGTGCTCTGAATGTCATCTAAGTCACAACAATAGAAGAACACAGTCTGCTAAACATAATACTACACACAAACATTAGACGTTGCCATGGTTTAATTGCACATAACATGTAAACATTCAGAGTGCAGGGAGGAAAAAGTATGTGAACCTTTGGACTTAATAACTGGTTGACCCTCCTTTGGCAGCAATAACCTCAACCAAATGTTTCCTGTAGTTGCAGATCAGACCTGCACAACGATCTGGAGTAATTTTGGACCACTCCTCTTCACAAAACTGTTTCAGTGTAGCAATATTCTTGGGATGTCTGGTGTGAATGCTCTCTCTTAAGGTCATGCCACAGCATTTCAATCGGGTTGAGGTCAGGACTCTGACTGGGCCACTCTAGAAGGCGTATTCTGTGCTGTTGCAGCCATTGTTTTGTTGAATTACTTGTATGCTTTTGGGTCATTGTCCTGTTGCATCACCCATCCTCTGCGGAGCTTCAGTTGGCGGACAGATGGTCGTATGTTTTCCTGCAAAATGTCTTGATAAACTCTGGAATTAATTTTCCCATCAATGACTACAATCCGTCCAGGCCCTGAGGCAGCAAAGCAGCCCCAAACCATGATGCTCCCTCTGCCATGTTTTACAGTGGGGATGAGGTTTTGATGTTGGTGTGCTGTGCCTTTTTTTCTCCACACATGGTGTTGTGTGTTCTTCCCAAACAACTCAATCTTGGTTTCATCTGTCCACAGTATATTTTGCCAGTAGTGCTGTGGAATATCCAGGTGCTCTTTTGCAAACTTCAAACGTGCTGCAATATTCTTTTTGGACAGCAATGGCTTCCTCCCTGGTGTCCTCCCATGTACTCCATTCTTGTTTAATGTTTTCCTTATTGTAAATGTGTCAACAAAAATGTTAGCATGTGCCAGAGATTTCTGTAGGTCTTTAGCTGACACTCTGGGATTCTTCTTTACCTCATGCAGCATTCTGCGCTGTGCTCTTGCAGTCATTTTTACAGGACGACCACGCCTAGGGAGAGTAGCAACAGTGCTAAACTTTCTCCATTTGTAGACAGTCTGTCTTACCGTGGACACATGAACATCAAGGCTTTTAGAGATACTTTTGTAACCCTTTCCAGCTTCATGCAAGTCAACAATTCCTGATCGTAGGTTTTCTGAGAGCTCTTTTCTGCGAGGCATGGTTCACATCAGACAGTGCTTCTTGAAACCAGTAAACCCAAAACAGGTGTGTGTTTTTTATGGGCAGGACAACTGTCAGCAACACATCCATTATCATCACACTGATTGGAGTCAAGGTTGGCTCACTCCTGGCTCCAATTAGCTCTGGGAGAAGTCATTAAGCTAGGGTCTCACATACTTTTTCCTCCGTGCACTGTGAATATTTACATGTTATGTGCAATTTAAACCACGGCAACATCTAATGTTTGTGTAGTATTATGTTCAGCAGACTGTGTTCTTATATTTTTGTGACTTAGATGACGTTCAGAGCACATTTTATGCCCAATTCATGCAAAACTCCACGTAATCCCAAGGGGTTCACATACTTTTTCTTGCAACTGTATGTATAAAAATATATCATATATATATATATAAATAAATAGAGTCCATGCAAGTGTAACTTATGAAAGAACGGTGGTCTTCACTTCTAGTGCTCAAACACAAATCCTCAAATGGCAGCAGTGCCTGCTCACACTCCCCGCACTGACCCTCAAGGGGCCAAAAGGCTACTGATCTCCTCTATGGCCAATCTTTTTTTCCTCCTCCTCTCGGTAGCTCAGCAGGTGATCACAGGGTCTCCACTTCTCCTCCACTCATATGTCATATAGGACACAAAACAGAGCTTCCCATAGTGTAATATTGTTTAATATAAGCCACTTCTATTACATATCGGTTGTACTCACATTTGATTTCCTGGTTACAAAAGCTTTCCACCTCATCCCATAGGTGTATCTCATGAACACAGGGGGAAACCAATATGGCCGCTCCGTTCGGACGGAGCGGCCATATTTGGTTTCCCCCTGTGTTCATTTTTTGGAGATATAAGATTATTTGTCACTGGTTTGTTTATTTATTTATCATCACTAATATGGATTCAGTTTGATTTTTTCTATTTAATATACACTATTGGTTATAATGTTCCAGTGTTTTAACAAGGAACTGTTAACACTTTAGCACTTACACTCACTGTTGGCACCTTAATATATATATATATTTATTTATTTAGCGCTTCACTATTTATAGTATATATTTGGCTACTTAATGGTTTAAGGTAAAGTGACAGCAGCTGTTGAGATAGGGACCTTGCCTGTATTGAGCGCAGGAGGATACTTGTAATCATGTTGTGTCAGTGCAGTCAAAAACAAATGTCAAACTAAAATTCTTAAAACAAAGAATTTCAAACAAAATTCTACTAGTGTACAGCCAACTACTACTAGCTGTGCCATGACCTGGAAAGACAAGAATCTCCACAGACAACTACTAGCTTGGCTTATGAAAGGGAAAACAAAAGAGATCAAAAAATGTCTTTTAACCTGTCCTCTTGCTATTTACCAAGATCCCTTGATTAGGAGGTGCCCTTAGACGAGTCTCCTAATATGCATGTTAGATTTATATGTCAACATTATTGTATGAACCTCAAATCTGAATTGTGAGTAAATATAAAACATACACATTGATGCAGATAGGCATCATCTAAAAAAAACAGTGTAAGTGCCTGAATCTAGCTAGGTATCTGACTCCTAAGCTGGGTATACATGCCAGCTGAATGAAAAAAAAAAAAAAAACATATTCCCCCATCCACACAAGTGAGGTGGATGGAGGAATCTTCCCCGTTGCAACATTGTATTGACAGCAGGGACTTTTAGCTGTCTGAATGCACTGATCAGCGCCTGCAGCCGCTTGGCTGATTGATGAAAAATGGCTGTTCAACAGAAGTCAATCAACCAATTTACTTCTCTTGAACAGGAAGGGTCACGCAGAGACCGAAATTCAATCTGGGTATACTCTCCTTTGCAATCCCTCGTACAGCAGCACTCAGACTGGGAGTGTGAGGTGCAGGATTGGGAGCCAGTTAGATGTGCAGCATGCAAATGTGTTCCCAAAGAACATTCTGATGGGAGCAGAGAGTAGCATTAGCAGAGGGATGACTTCATCTGTCTGCTGTTTCTTCTACCACTCAGCAGAATGGGGAAAGAGATGACACCACAGACTGGATTTCTTAACAGTAAGTGGTGTCATCCTCCATGCTGTACTGCGTGGGAGGGTTGTGTAAATCTCAGAGCTGGGAGGCCAGAAATAAAAATATTTTGTCACCTATACAGTGAGAAACCGAAGTATTTGAACACCCTGCTTAGAAATCATGGAGGGGTCTGAAATTCACATTGTAGGTGCATTCCCACTCTGAGAGACAGAATTAAAAAAAAAAAAAGTCAGGAAATCATATTGTATGATTTTTTTTTTAAAGAATTTATTTGTCTTGCACTGCTGAACATAAGTATTTGAACACCTGAGAAAATCAGTGTTAATGTTTGGTACAGAAGCCTTTGTTTGCAATTACAGAGGTCAAACGTTTCCTGTAGTTCTTGACCAGGTTTGCACACACTGCAACAGGGATTTTGGCCCACTCCTCCACACAGATCTCCTCTAGATCTGTCAGGTTTCGGGGTGTCGCTGAGCAACACAGAGTTTCAGCTCCCTCCAAAGATGTTCTATTGGATTTATGTCTGGAGACTGGCTTGGCCACTCCAGAACCTTGATATGCTTCTTACGGAGCCACTCCTTGGTTATCCTGGCTGTGTGCTTTGGGTCGTTGTCATGTTGGAAGACCCAGCCACGACCCATCTTCAATGCTCTGGCTGAGGGAAGGAGGTTGTTGCTCAAAATCTCACAATAAATAGCCCCATTCATCCTCTCCTTATACAGTGCAGTTGTCCTGTCCCCTTCGCAGAAAAGCACCCCCATAGCATGATGTTACCATCCCCATGCTTCACAGTAGGGATGGGTGTTCTTGGGATGCAACTCATCCTTCTTTTTCCTCCAAACACGAGTGAAGTTTAGACCAAAAAGTTCTACTTTGGTCTCATCTGACCACATGACTTTCTCCCATGCCTCCTCTGGATCATCCAGATGGTCATTGGCAAACTTCAGACGGGCCTGGACATGTGATGACTTGAGCAGGGGAACCTTCCGTGCAATGCATGATTTTGAAACCATGACGGCGTAGTGTTCTACCGACAGTGACCTTTGAAACTGTGGTCCCAGCTCTCTTCATGTCATTGACCAGCTCCTCCCTTGTAGTTCTGGGCTGATTCCTCACCTTTCTTATCAGTGATACCCCAAAAGGTGAGATCTTGCATGGAGCCCCAGTCTGAGGGAGAATGACAGTCGTCTTTAGCCTCTTCCATTTTCTAACAATTGCTTCAACAGTTGATCTATTTTCACCAAGCTGCTTGGCAATTGCCCCGTAGCCCTTTCCAGCCTTGTGAAGGTCCACAATTTTGTCTCTGGTGTCTTTTGACAGCTATTTAGTCTTGCCCATGGTAGTAGTTGGCGTCTGACTGTGGGGTGGACAGGTGTCTTTAAAGAGCTCAGACAGGTGCTACGAAGTTAGATAAATGAGTGGAGTAGAGGGGGGCTTTTTAAAGGCACAGTAACAGGTCTTTGAGAGACAGAATTCTTGCTGTTTCTTAGGTGTTCAAATACTTATGTTCAGCAGTGCAATACAAATAAATTCTTTAAAAATCATACAATGTGATTTCCTGATTTTTTATTTTTTTAAATTCTGTCTCTCAGTGGGAATGCACCTACAATGTGAATTTCAGACCCCTCCATGATTTCTAAGTGGGAGAACTTGCAAAATCGCAGGGTGTTCAAATACTTCTGTTCCTCACTGTATATATGTATTTTATCTGTTTATTTAGCTGTTTGTCTGGAGTTCAGCTTTAAGGTGTTTTTGCTTTTAATTCCTCAGGTTTTGAATGATGCCGTTGCAAACTTCCAGCAGAGGAATGAGACTTTCCTGATTGCTAAAAAGGTGGAGGAGGCTCCTCTGGAGGTTCCGGTAAGTTGTGACTTGTCATTTATTGTGGGTCTGTGTATATTTTATGTCTGTTACTGACCAGCTTGTGAAGGAAATATTCTGCCTTATATCTGAGCAGTAGAGTTTTCAAATTAAAATGGAATTCCGCTTTTGTTCATTTAAGAGGAAGTTAGTTTATTTTTTGTTCTTCCTCTTTATAGTAAGGAGTTGGCATGCTTGTGTATAACTTTCACTCCAAGACATGAATCCAGCATTGCTGTGAGATCCTTGAGACAGTTGCCATGGATGTCGACCTCTAAACTGCTGAAACTTAAAATGTCCAGTCATTACCCAAATTTACCGCCAAACCTTCCTCCTTCACTCTAGATAATGTCTTCACATTTTTTTACCTTGTTCCTGTATTTATAAGCCGCTTTTTTTTTTTATCCCTGTAAAATATTTTCCAGGCTTGTCCAATTCTTGTAGAGACAGTTGTGGGAGGTTAGTTCCTATTGACTTAGACATGCCTCTAAAACTACATCTCCCAAAAGCCCTTGCTCTGCACACAATGTAATCAATGTATGTATGTGGAAATGAAAATAGTGTGAAGGGAGGGATTTTCAAATTTTTGTAGTTCAGCTGGCTGGCTGACAACAAGATTTGGGATTTCAGTGTAGCAGATACTGTGTTGTCAGTCTATTCAGGGAGTTAGGTGCTCATTGGATTTCTGGCAGATCAGAGGTATATTTCTGTGCTGACAACATTATTAAATGGATAAGACATTGGGGAACATGTACTACATGGATGTACCAAATATTTTTTGCTATTGCTGACCTTATAAAAGTGTTGCGTGCTTGCCTGGCATGCTGATCCAATGATTTAAATATTTTGCCAAGTTACTGATCAGCACTTATGACTTTACCAACTGTCTGCTAATATTTTCATTGGGAGACTTATCTGCACAAATTGTCAGCACTATATTTATTACCTGTAATAAAGAAATGAAAATAAATACTTCCTATTTCACAGATGTCAGACTGAAAAGAAAGCTATTAATTTCACTTATTGTACTGTCTGACAGCCATTAAATAGACAGAACAGGAAGTAAAAGGAAATCACCCCCAACAGGCAAGGTTAACATTAGAAACAAATATTCTGGTAGAGGTATGAAGGCTGAGAGCCTCTGTTGGGATTTTATTGCAGTCTGTGACCCTATAAGGGATACTTTCCCTCCCTTCCTTCCTATATGACAGGTGTCAGACAGCAGAAAGAGAAATGTCATGTTTGGGGGCACACAGTATTTAAATCCTAACTGGGGTTCTAAACCTTCCAGTTCTATCTTAACGGAAAAAAAAAAAATTGCTGGGGGAGAGATATCCAATCCCACCAGTCAGGTCTGACTGACTGAAAACAATCTCTGTTGTGTCTGCAATTTATATCAGCAGTTGTTATTAGAGAAGCTGTAATGAAATATGGATACATATAGATACATAAAGCCACTTGAGGGAGAGTTTCTAAATCTGTGCAAAAAGCATTTATGTAAAAGTCACATTTTTATAAAGTAATATAATGATGTGCTCATTGTGGAGATGTGTGCTGTATTTTGCGCATTGATTTGTTCAGTTAAGGCACAACATGGGAACAAAACTATATAACCATTTTATTTTTTTTTTTTAAATTCTTTCACACAATGTACCACAACAGTATGTGCCTTTTGGTGTGCTGCAGGGAACCTACTGTACTATGTGTTGGGGTGCTACATTGCAGTAAAACTGCTCTGTAACTGCAATGCATAGAAGGGGGCCTAAATTTGCCTCGGCATTCATCATATTCCATATCGGTTTGACGAACCGTATCCTAATACTGTGTCATCTTGATCTTGATTCCAGAGTGCTGAGCTGGGACTCCGAGCGCCTCGGTGGATTCGGGACAATGAGGTGACGATGTGCATGAAGTGCAAGGAGCCATTTAATGCCCTGACACGGAGGAGGCACCACTGCCGGGCCTGCGGCTATGTATGTTATAAAATGTGATTCTGTACTTATCTTATCAGTAATGCAACAGCAATGTATTGGCTTATCACACTCAGTGATAAATGGGTTTGAGATCTTGATTAAATGGGAGCTATAGTCTTTATTGTACTTCCCTTCCTCCCCAATTTGCCACTGTAGCACTGATCTTGAAAATCATATGTAATGACTGACTTTCTGAGGGTTGGTATTTTCATAGGGTAAATGTACCCCCCATGTGACAGCACTCAAGCCTGGTGATTGGCTACTCAGACACTAAATTGTGGAAGGTAGGCGAAAGTGTCTTGTGTCACAAACCTGGAAGTATTGGGTTTATTGGAGCTCCATTGGTGGATTCGGGCAAGGAGGGAATTAGTTGAAGATTCCAGGCATCCTAATATGCCTCTGGGAAAGCTTCATGGCTTTTTTTGTTATACAATTGTATGAGTTGCTTAAATTAAATATTCTTAGCTTGTGCATGGCAATGTTTTTAAAACTTTCACTAATTGTGAAAAGTGTAACGCTTACACTATTTGGAAAAAAAAAAAAAAAAAGTATTCTCTAACGTGGCCGTACACATTACAATCCGATTGTCCAATCTTTGCACAACCTCATTTTGCTTTAGCATATCTGTAGTCTCTGAGGACCCATCTCAACAGTACATTCAATTTGTATCCAAGTTATAATGCAAGATATCTGCGCATGTGTTATTTTAGATATTATTATAATTGTATCCAATGATTCTCATTCCAGGTAGTTTGCTGGAAGTGTTCTGATTACAAGGCTCCTCTGGAGTATGACGGTAACAAAATCAACAAGGTTTGCAAGGATTGCTACCATATATTACGAGGCAGTAGTGACAGTGAGGAAAAAGAAAAGAAAAGGGGGATACTCGAGGTAAGAAGGGAACATGGATCCGGTGCTATTAAGACATTCAAAGCCTAAATGCCATTGATATAAATCTCCTCCAGCAGTGGCCACCTAAATGAGCCAAAGGAGTGACTTGCTTTCCTATTCTTGGGCGGTTTCAGTCGCCATACCACAGTGACCTCCATTCGCTTCCGGGTCCTGAGCAGCTGCTCTGCTGCTCGGTGAACACAGGAGGTTGCTCACTCTGCAGGGATGCCATTCAGTGAACAGTTTTCTCTGAATCAATGTAAAGCATTCTCTGATTGGATGAGGTGAAGCAGCAATGTCACAATCCTGCACCTTGTGCAAGCAAAAGATGCTTTGTATTCATTGAGAAAATGCAAAATGTTCTGTGCATGGCACCCATGCTGAGCAAGTGATCTCCTGTGTTCACTAAGCAGAAGGGCAGATGCTTGGCAGAGGACACAGAAGCTAGTGGCAATTACTGTAGTAGTGGTGTGTACACTGTGCTGGGACAAGGTCACCTGGAGTCCACGGTGAACATCACAAACTGCACCCCCCAAGATGTATGAGTGTTCCATGCCAGCACAAATCCCCCATCCCCCCCCCCCCAACCTCAAAAAAAAAATTGGGCACTAAAACATTCCCCCTCTTCCCAATACAAATCTGCTCCTCTGCTAAAGTCACCCCTCCCAGCACAAATTGTTGCCCCCCCCCCCCCCCCCAAAAAAAAAAAAAATCGCCCCTCCTTGAACCTCCATTCCTCACAGCCCAGGGCAGCCGTCCCTTCTGCACAACCCTTGTCCCGGCAATGTGTGTACTACAGTGATTTTCAGCTTCTATAGCACGAAAAAAAAGAAAAAAAAGGACCGCTGAGGAGGAGTCTCTGTACGAGCTACTTGATGACCCCCATACCTCCCCCCCAGAAAAACTTCGGTCAGCACGCTCAGCCTTTTTTCATCATGCCCCTCCCACAGAACCCTATCCAGGCACAATAGGGTTAAAGTTTGAATCCGGCTCAGAAGGCATGCTAAGAGGTTGCTGAATTGGATTTCTGGTGGACTATATACCATTTTACTCTCAAATAGGGTTAAAGTCTTTCTGACACCAGTTAACTGTTTTCATGTGTTATTCAAACTACTTAATGCCATTTTATTAACAACTATGGCCTATTTTCTTTTTCAATCTCATGTATTTTTCTTTCATGCCATCAGATTGAGTCTGCAGAGGTATCAGGGAACAGCGTCATCTGCAGTTTTCTCCAGTATAATGAAAAATCCAAGCCATGGCAGAAAGTTTGGTGTGTGATCCCAAAACAAGAGGCTCTTGTGTTGTACATGTATGGTGCACCACAGGTACGAAAATTGTTTGGTACCTGCCAAACATACACTGAAAGTTTGATAGGAAAAATGGCTGTTTGTGAAGTCCTGCTTAATATGCACTGTACAAATCCTGTAAATAGGAGCAACTAGAAGATGCTTGTCCTCTTGTGCTGCCATGACCTTGCAAGCTCCTCAACCCTTCTCACACTCTAGGTTCAGACATGGTTAGACCAACAATGTTTACCAAACCAGTTACCGATAATACCCAGCACACCTTAAAAAGGGGCAATGAACACAATATTTCAATAACCACAATTGTAGTGAATAGATCAAGTATAACTTAGTGGGTTATAAACTGTTTACAGCAATATACACAATATGAAGAACTAAGCAATGGTAACACCAAGTGAATAGCAATGGTTTTAAATATTATCAGCAGACTGTAATATACCCTTGTGCATCAATAGTGCCTGTTGAGAGTGCAGCTCTAGTTGTGGGGGAGAGGCTTAGGAAAACCACCAGTTCCCTTGCGACCACTGGTGCAACACAATGGGACTGCCCTTGTTATTGGTATTTTATATAAGGAAGGAATTTAAGTAAGCAATGTGGAATCAATCCAGAGTTTGTGGATAATACCTTCTGCTTGCAAGTTGGGGCCCTTTAATGGTGAAGAGTGATGTAGGAGGACATGGGGAGGTAGCAAAGCAAAGATTCTTCAACTGACTTGGGTATACAAGTGTCTGTTAGCAGTGTCTTTGTACAACTGAGTAAAGAAAAAGGGGCAACGGCCCTCTCGCCAGTTCTGGCACAGATGTGGTCTCCGGCACCACTGGATGAGTTGAATGAGTCTTTGTCTCTCTACTGCAGGAGCGATGGGCTTTGCAACAAGCTGCTCATGCGCTGTCAGCCATGGCGGATGACGCTGAGAAGGCTGTGAGGATCGCAGCAAGGCAATCTTTGGTGCAGCTGCGCAGATGAACAGGCTGTTTGTCACTGTTACAGGCTGAGCCCCGATGCAGCTGAATGCAAAACAGCAGTTTCCAACTGTCTTCTCTGATGTCCCCAGGTCAAGCGAGTGATCCCACCAGATACAGTCAAATATATAGGCTTCCCCATAATCCCTTGTTGATTCAACTCTTCTGGGATTCGTAGTTCAAAAGGAACTTTAAAACACAGGGAGTAGTGGCAATAGGACTACAGGTTCCAAGATCATTTTCTCTTTTACAGGAAGAACCACTCCTCGCCTCTGTAGGCAGGAAATTATGTAATGGTCTGGGACCCGGTCATCAGGAGGGAAATAAATAGCCTATAGCTATTAGCTATAGCCTATATCTCAGTTTGACCATGTCCCCTTGATTCCATTTTGCAGTAACTGGTACCTGGCTACAATAACATGGTTTGTAATTTTGTGGCGGATAGAGCATATACAACCAGTATAGTTGTCCTCATTGGAAGACTCCCTGTTCCATTAAAAACTATAACATTTGGATTTTCCCAATATTTTCTGTCCTGGTGACAATGGTACAAAATAGAGAGGGTGAATCTCCCCAGTGTGGGACACAGGCAGCAATAAAAAAAACTGACAGAGGTTCTAACCCTTCCTACTATGTTTGGGGGAAAAAGTTTCGGCTTTATATACACTTCCATACGGAAGTACCAGTAAGGAAGTGCTGAGGATTATATCGCTTAGATAGTCTGCCCAGAGTTGAAGTATACTAAATGGCCAAAGGTATGTGAACATTCCTGTAGATTATAGAGTTTAGGCATTTCCAATGAAGGGTACCGGTAATTTTTTTAGCACACAAAGACTTTTTTGACAATTGTGTCCTTCCAGCCTTGGGCAACAGTATGCGGAAGGACCTTTTCTGTTTCATGATTACTGTGCCTCATGTACAAAGCCAGCTCTATAAAGAGAGATTGATGCAGTTGGTGTGGAGGACATCGTGGGGTTTATTTACTAAAGCTGGAGAGTGCAAAATCAGACTCACTTCTGTATAGAAACCAATCAGCTTCCAGGTTTCATTGCCAAAGCTTCATTGAACAAGCTGAGGTTAGAAGCTGATTGGTTTCTATGCAGAAGGGAGTCTGATTTTGGACTCTCCAGCTTTAGTAAATAAACCCCCAAGTGTCCTGCACAAAGTCCTGACCTCAGCCCTATTGAACACCTTTGGCATGAAAATAGAGTCAGGTCTGTGGGCACAAATTCCCACAGACACACTCCAAAATTTTGTGGAAAATCATCCTAGAAGATTGGAGGCAGTTACAGCTTCAAAGGGGATTGTCATTAATGCCCATGGTGTTGGAATGGGAAGCCCATCAAGCTCAAATAGGTGTATTAACCAGGGGTCCACAACATTTCGGCCATCTAGAGTAAATTAATTATACTCTTGTTTTTATTTTGGGGGGGGGGGGGACATTTTTGTTTTGTTAATGGTTGCCAATGTAATTTTGTTTTCCAGGATGTAAAGGCCCAGACCACCATCCCACTGCTGGGCTACCTTGTTGACGAATCCCCTCGTGGGGTAGACCTGCAGTTCAGCTTCAGACTGTCCCAGTCTAAGTCAGTGCACTGCTTCTCCGCCGACACTGAGGAACTGAAACAGAGGTGGCTTAAAGTCATCAACCTGGCTGTGAAGGGGTTAACTCAGGAAGATATAGAAGACACAAACAGTGCAGAACATAGCGAATCAGAGGCTTGTGAATAGCTTCCAGAGTGTTAATATCGTACCCCAATCAATTAAGACTAAATATATTGTACATATTAAAGACTAGCCATGTTTAATGGAAATTCTGTAGACTTCGGACATTTGGCTGTTTGGGCCAGGTCACAAGAAAAATATTTAAGAAAAAAAATCCTTCTCAGTGCCAACAACGTCCAGTTCCAAGAAATTGTAGAGAATTGGGTTTGCGTATCTTGCTGGCAAGAGACACTAGTAAGAAAAGAAGTGGAATTTGTGTGAGGCCTTGACAGCACTACACATTGTTATCCTCCAAATGTTCGAAACTCCATCACATCATCAATCATAAAGCAGTTACATTGGTCACACAAGTGGAGCGGTCAATACAACTAGTATGGAGACTGTCGACTGAAGGCTTCAGTTTGAAATATCACTTCGGTATCCCTGGGCCTCAATTGTATTAATAATTGCACAATCAACTACAAAATGTAAAAAAAAAAAAATCAACCTTTTTTTTTGCAGATTTGACATTCAACTTTCCAAACTTAAAGGCACAAAGATATGAGCGTGAAAGCACATGGAGGGTTGAAGGGAGGTCTGCAGCCTGTTGCTATACCTCAGGCTTTTTGTCAGGAAATTAAGATTTTCTAAATATTTATTTACTGTGAATTGTACAAACGTATTAGTGTATTAAATTGTGAAATATTGCCCAGTTTTATAGAGGATCTGCAGCGGCCTTGTTTTGAACTGCACACGATGCAGAAAATTAATGTTTGAACGACTGGTGGTATAAAGAACTATCCTATTTATATTATGTTTTCTTTTTCTTCAGTAGCTATGAATGGTATTATGTTCATTTGTTTTTTGTCCGTTCCTCTTTCTTCTACTTCTTTTTTTCATTTTCCCTTTTCAGCAAATATGAGCTAACTGTAAACAGTGGGGGGAGCCACTATTTGTAAGATTGTGGCTGGTGTGTTAGGAGGTTTGCCAATAAGCCCCGGTTCACACATATGCATATGGATCGCAGCATTCCCGCACCGCATTGCAATCGCATTGTGTTTGTGATCTGCTGCAGGTGTCAATTCAAAGTTAATGACACCCCAAAAGTAGGTTGCAAATGTAGTGTTTGTCTGCACCGGAACACATGGTACAAAACAAACATGCAATTCAGTTATCATATGGTAAAAACAAAATTGTGCTTGCATGTTTCTGTGCTATGTGGTGCGATTTGAGCCCATTCAAAATAAACCGTAGCAAACAGAATCGCGTGTGAATTGCACAGGAATGCGGTGCAGTTCCTGTGCGATTCACATGCAAGCTATTTGTGTGAACCCAGGCTAAAATGATAGTTTATTCGTTTAAATGAGCAAAGGGTATGAACATCCGCCCTGAAAAGAAAAGCAACATTCGGTCTTTCCATCATTCGCACAGTACTGACATGTAATTTTGCATTATGAACAGCTCTGCAGTTTTTTTTTTTTTTTTATATGTATCAGCATCAAAGCACCTCAGGTTTGTCACTTGGATCAAATGACTTGTTTGACTCTATTACCTGTGCTATTATTGATATCCGTGTACACCCCCCCCCCTTTACTTTACACCACAAAATGTCTCCGTCTGTTTTAATTGGTGGTAGACTTTAGCATTGTGTCAACTAGATGGCAAAACAAATGGAGATTGCTTTGTGTTTGTGTGCACCACAGTTCATTTTAGTGTATGATTTTACCAATATTAAGTTGCACAATATTGTAAAAAGTTGATAACCACCATCATTTTATTCTACAGATCCTTTGCTTTCAGAAAAGATATAATGTTTTATAAGTAATCTTTAGGCCAAATGCATTTTAGCGTACATATAATGAATGAACAAATTGGTCCAGCAGAGAAAAGGTTGTGACAGTGGTCACCAGTACAAACAGAGGGATGAATCTCTCCCACAGCAAATAAAACGGAGGGTCTAACCCATTCCCAACGTCCAAAATGTTAAAAAAAAAAAAAAAAAAATGGTTCTTCCCAGAGACACACTTTAAATGTGGACATTTCTGGATATTGCTACCTAAACTTAGTAGATTGTAAAGTCTGATTGTGATGTGTGTGATCAACTTTTGTTGCCTTGCCTTTTCAGGTAGAGTGCCTTTTCCTTGACTGATAATTCATGCCTTTATTATGAATCAGAATTTTTCTGTAAGCCGTTATTATGTCACTACTTTGCCGTTGTACAAGAAGTTCTCATGTTGTTAAAGTCCAACTCTGCAATGGGACTGCAAGGGTTAAATGCTTGTTTATGCCTAGAGAACAGGAAAAGCACTATGATGTACCTGATCCTCTAACCCCAACCTCTCTCACTACCACCCCCCACCACCTTTCTTCGCTCCCCTATGCTCTGGCAGTGAACTGTCCTTTGGCATCTTAGCCCTGGTTCACACTGATGCAGTGCGGAATTTGCAGTGTTTTCAGTGCGAATTCTGCACTGCATCAGTCACACCCCGTTCATGCAAACCGCTGCGGGTGTGTATGTTAACAAAACCCTGGAAGCGGTCCGCAAAACGTGGTGCGATGTGCAGAATCGGATCGCTTATGTGTGAATACCTATGCGATCCGATTCTAGTGCCGACCCAAACAAGGGTCCTGCACGTTTTTGGTGCGGGTGTAGTGCGAATAAAGCCATACAAAATGTATGGCTCCAATTGCACCGCACACAAATCGCATGGGATTTGCACATGAATGCATTGCGGTTCCTATGCAAATCACATGCGATATACCGCACCGCACAACTGTGAACCCAGACATAGCCTGGGTTCGCACTGATGCGGTGCAAAATTTGCACTGGTTTCTGTGCGAATTCCGCACCGCATCATAATCGCACCCCGTTCACGCGAACCATCGCGGGTGTGTATTTTAAGTTAACACCCCGAAATCAGTTCACAAAACGCAGTGCGATGTGCAGAATCGGATCGCATAGGTGTGAACACCTATGCGATCCGATTCTAGTGCAGACCAAAAAAAGGGTCCTGCACTTTTTTGGTGCGATTTGAGCCATACAAAATGTATGGCTCAAATCACACTGCACAGAATTCGCATGTGATTTGCACAGGAATGCGGTGCGGTTCTTGTGTGAATCACATGCGGTATGTTGCACCGCAAAAGTGTGAATCCAGGCTTAATGTCTAGTGTAGGGCTATAGTCCCTTGATTGTATCACGGGACCTTAGGCCTCCAGAGCATAGGGGAAAGCCTGAGGTCAGCAGATTCCCATTTACCTCAATGATGGAGTGTGAATGAGAGTTTTAAGACTTGCTTTGCCTTTCACAGTCAAAAGAATGTATCAGAACTGAAACAGACAGAATCTGGAGCAGTCATGCATGGCAACCAATGAAGTTCTACCTTTCATTTCCAAGGCTTAAATGAACAAGCTGGACACAGAAGCTGATTGGTTGCCATACACAGCTGCCCCAGATTCTGCCTGCTCCAGTTTTGATGTATTCCCTCCAGCATGTCCTATTGGAGATGCATTTATATTACACGTAAAGCACAACAAACACAGACTTGTGTGTTTAAATGGCATTTGCTCTTTTTTTATTGTAAAAATCCTGCATTTGACAGCAATTCCATACATCAGCTCTTAGGGCAGGTTCACACTATAGAAAGAAGTCCAGATGCGTTCTGGTGCGTTTTTGACCCGTTTCGCTGCGTTTTTAACCATTCCAGTGCGTCTTTGATGCTTTCCAGTTGATTTTTTTCCCTCTCTCTTTTTCTTCAATTTAAATAGGGACATGTGCGTTTCAGTGCTTTCCATTGTGTTTTTGATGCGCTTTACCATGTTACAGTGCAGTTCTGTGCAAGAAAAATGCAGCCTGTTCTACTTTTTTTTTTGTTTCTGCAACTGGAACGCACTGGAACTGCAAGCACTGATGTGAACTATGACAACCATATAACCTACTTTATGTGCATTTTGGATGCAGAAAAAAAAACACACTGAAACGCCTGTAGTGTGAACTGACCCTTAAAGTGAGCCTGTGCTTTGCCTACTAGTACTCCAATTGGTCCTTAAGGATAGGCAATTGTAAAGCCAGGTGCACAATTCTTATTAACCTGGAGTATCAGAAGGAGGACAAACTGTCATGGCAGTGCCTCCTATGTAGGCACGCACGTATGTAGGTAATTTCAGGGGTCATAAATCCCAAATGTATTTGATTGTTGAAAGTCCATAAAGCTGGATATTTAATTTTGTCTATAGATCTCAGGTATAGAAATATTTAAGTTTGTTCATCCCATTGTGTTAGGCAAACATCTGCTTTTATTTGGACATGTTTGGTAAAATCACAGCCAATACCCAATAAAGCTAACCTCTAGTCATACATAAAATACCCCAATGAATGCAGACCTGTTATCATTAATACATCATTAAATATTTTAAATGCAAGCAGTGTAAATACCTGAATTTGACCTGGAATCAGCCTCTTGCAGACACTGTACAGCAGAGCTTAGAGAGCAGCACATCGAGCCAATCAGATTATGTGCTGACGAGAAGCATGTTGATAGAAGGAGAAGGCAGTGTGACAGAGGAGCTCATGGCTGTGCAGATTTTTCTTTTACTGTCCAGTCACAAGCTGAGGGCGGGTCCATGAGGACCTGGGCTTAGAGGAAGGTGGTTGAACAAAGCTATTTTTGACTGGGGACATCTAGTGGCAGAAAAAAACACTGCTTGGGAAAATCTTTGGGTTGAAGGTGAATATGGCAGCAAAATCTGGTTTTATTATTTTAGCTTTAATATAATTATGGGCAAGATGAAAAAAAATACATAGATGATGCAGCCTGTCTTTAGCATTAAAGCTGAACTCCAGGCAGATATAAAATAAATTCATCTGTATTCATCAATATGTCATGTATGGTATTGTTTTCGTGCAAGCAGTTACTTGGTATTCACCTCTTGCACTCCATGTACAACAGAGCACAGACTGGTAGAGGGAGAAGCACTACAAGAATCCAATCAGTTGCTCGTGTACTAACAAGGGATATGTTGATAGG